ACAACTGCAAGAAAGAGGAGCTGTTCTAGTAGAAGGTACAACATCTTTGTGATATTTATTTTTCTTAGAAACATGTAAAACTTTTGTGTTTCCTGGTTATTCATGTCTGTGTTTTTCAGCTTCCTGCTTTAAATTTTGAAAAAAAGTACTATAATGTATAAAAGTTTATTCAAAAACCATGCTGTGCTTGTCTTGATCAGCAGTTGTTATTTATGTTTTGTTTTGCATCTTTCAGAGCACCCAGAATCTTCATCAAGTGAGGAGTTACTGTTTTCTACACCACAAGATAGAGAAGTCACATGTAAGTCCCTGTTATGTTATTGCGCTGCAAGATTCTTTGTTTTCAGTGGTAATTGTCAACAGCTAAGAAAGTCTTTATTCAGTAACGGGACAGGGAAGTCTTAAGTTTCCATTTTGCATTCCTTTTACACCAATGATTTCTACCTGGAGCTTTTTTTACCAGAAAGCACTCCTAGGTCAGGCCAAATAATTTACCAATAATCAAGTTCTCCACTTTCCTGCTGTTATGTTACATGTCAGCCTGAGCGTTTCAGGAGCCTTACATGTTTACTGCATTGTAAGATCCTTTGTACTGGTAACTACAGCTAAAAGGTAAATCTCCAAATTCTTTTGATCTTGGAACCTTGTATTTTTGACGAAGAAATCTTAAAATCTTTTAAGGTTAGAATCAAAATTTTGAAAGTTAGATCTTGAAATAGATCTTGGTTGTGTCTTAAAATTTTTGGAAAGGTATTTATAAAACCAAAATTTGGTACATGAGACGAGGTTTGAAGGTTTAAGAACTAGGTGTGGTTACAGTTTTAGCATTTTTCACCAATCCTTTTACAAGGCCTTATGTCATGTCACGCAAAAGAATGAATTAAAGTATCCTTGTTTAGTATTAAATTATTACCTTCTTGTGAATTACTGTAATTAGTTGGTTGTAAAGGAAAGCTGTGTGTCTTGTATATAACAAGCACCTAGTAACAAGTAAATTAACTTGTAACAAAGTTATTTCGTGTACTTCCTTTGTTTCTTCTATTTAGCTTTTCAAAACTTAATTACATAATGTAAGTGCTGTGAGCGGAGGGTAGAGAGAACGCTAATTTAAAAGTGGATATCAGTCTAATGCTTTGACTTCCAATGTGCTGACTTTAAAACTAACATAATAACTACATGCATTTCGGTGCATAAAATGTACACTAGAGACAGGACAAAAAGGAAAAGAAAGCAACTTTTGCGAGTAGAAAGACTAGATTAAGAGGTCATTGTTTCGCCAGCTTCAGGTTAAATATCGTACAGATTACGGAAATTTTAAACAACAACTATTTTATGAGCAGTTCTAAACTCAAACAACAATCACAAGGGAGTCAGAAGCGTTACTGATATCCACTTTTAAATCTGCGTTTCAGGGGAACGAGACCAAGAAGAGCAAGTTGAAAATGAGAGAAACGTTAAAGCGGAAAGATTCAAACTGCCTCCAATTATCCAAGCGGCGGCGAGGCCGAAAAATCGCCCTGTTGATGACTCGGGGGGGTTGCTGAGAGGGCAAAAAGCGAAAAAGTTTGAGCAGGAAAAACCAACTCGAAATTTTGAACAGAAATCTCCTGTGAGAACGGTGAAACACGAAGAAAGATCACCAAGAAAAGACATGTCATTTCACAGTTCTGAGAAGAAAGAGGGGAAAGTTCAACTGGAACCTCTGGAAAGAAGTCGGTGGAAAAGTGGACGGTCCGAAAAGAGTTTAGAAGCCTCGGAAAAGGGTTTAGACTTGGACAAAAATTTATACATTGTGGATACTAACAAAGAAGGGAAGAAAGCCAAGAGTGAGAAAACGAAACGGAGAAGAAGAACCAGGACTGAAAGCCCTAAGAAGAGCTCTCCTTCGGTGGAAAGGTGTGCAAGCTATGAGGATGCAGTTTCAGAGCCTCCTTCGAAAGAGAACGCTTCCCAACTTAAAAGTTCCATGCCGCTTACGACCGAGAATGCATCTAGTGATATCAAAACTAAGAATCCAGAGTACTCAAAAGTTCACGAATTTAACAGCAAAGGGTTAGGAACGCTGGCAATAAGCGAGGGAGATATGGTCGCCATTAAAGTGCCTGAGAAGTTGTACATCAAAGGACAGCCTTGTCTTGGGAAAATAACCACGTTAGCGGACCACCAGGGCTTGCTGACTGTACACTACTACACGGGGAGTTATCAAGGCCGATGGAGACCGATGATGAGTCGCACCAGCCCTTATCTAAGGAAGGTGGATGCAGCTGATGTGCTGTGCAAGTTTAAGCTGACGTCTGACGGACGGATGTCGCCCATCACACAGAAAAAGTTGAGGACGGTGGTCGATGATAAAAGAAGTGAAAGCGGTGACGCGAAATAAGTATCAAGAATTGATTCAGAAAGGAACACTCTCCTTGAAATGGGAGTGATTCACTTGCAGTGAAGTACGTTTTGAGAAAAACCACTTGGAGATGAATACGATTTTGCAGAAAGTCTAGAACACAGTGTACAATGTTCTTAGTCACGTATTTATGCAACATTTAGGTGCAAAGTCTAATGACATGTAAGGAACTGTATCTATACATACTTACTTTATGTACTTGAATCTTACGCTAATTAAGACTGCGATTTGAATTCGAAGAATAAGGAACCTTTTGTTTTGACCGGTCAAACTCAGTCCAAAAATGACTGAATTCTGAGAATGTAGCGTAACGCTCCTTTTGCACTGAAATTTCCGTGTTTTGTTCTGGTCACTATAAAAGTACCTCTGATATTGGCCAGGGTGGTCCTGAGAGTTAGAGAACGACAGTTTCCCAAATATCATACATGTAGTTAAAAGGAGTTTAACTGACGTAATGTCGACAAAAACCGTAGATCTGACGGGTTGAATTGGTATTATTGTAGACTTATAGTCTATTTTACTAATTGTAGTCTAAAAGCATGACACATAAGCTATAAACAAGTAGAACATGAAAATATTAGATCAAACAGGATGCATACGTAGATATATTTTATTAATTACAATCTCAGTAGAAAACAGACGTTTAAAAAGAATATATGATCAGCAGTTTTTTAAAAAAAAAATCTGTGTAAATATAATTGTATCTGTCATGAAGAAATAACAGTATTTTAATGATACATACTTTATACAATAGACAATTGGATTTATTAAATGCAACTTGATAAAGTGTTGTTGTAGTTTAGTGGTTTGTCGCTGACTATTTTAAGATTTTGCTTCAAGACCTCTAGGCAAGTGCTTAAGCCTTCATCAGTTGAAAGTGAAAGGTTTTACATGTGAAAGGGTTTACATGTGTTTTACATGTGAAAAGCCGCGCATTAAACGTGCGCGCCTTGAAGGTTACGTGTAAAATTCATTAAACGTAGCGCGAGAGTCGCGCGCGTGCCAAACATTTGTAGACCTTTGAGATGGCCATGTGGTTGTTCACAGCCTGCGGTTGTTTTAATGATAACCAGGCTTCCAAAAAGAGTCGCTCGTGAAAATTAGCCTCATGTCCAACAATTTTGGCACTAATCTGGAATAGAGCTTTCTCTGTGGAGCTACTGAAGGGACATTGATTTGTACAAGCTGAATTTCATCTCTGTATTTGTGCACAGAAAAGCCTAAAAAACTATGGAAATTATGTTTCATATTACCTCGTTCAAATTAATCCTTTTGGTGTGTTTTTTATTGTTTCCACTAATATTTGCTAATTACTTCCGTGTAACACAAAATCTTCCTATCTGCCCCTTTAAAAGTGGAAACCACAATAAAAAATAAAAATTATAATGCTAAAAAAGGAAGCTGCTTTTTGTGCAAAGCGTCAACCAGAGGCTTCAAATATTTAATTAAGTGCAGCATGAGGCACACTAACAGGCCCTCCATTCATCCAGCTGTTTATCAATACTCACTGTGCTCGTGGAATACATTCAAAAGATTGAAAACGTAGTTCAAGATTGGCAAGGTCCTTTGGGCTATGCTAAAAATACGTAATCGCCAACAAACAAAGCTGATATGTTTGTCTCTGATGGCATTTAAGGTTATTCCCCAGTATTGCTTTGCGCATCCCTACTGCGCGTAATTTCATGCGTGATTAGCGCGCGCGTATTAAAAAATGGCGGCTTTTTCTTTACAGCGGGACCTCGCCATAGAGGTAAATCGTCATTTTCTTGCAACCGAGTATGGTGATAATTTTTTTCTGTTGTTTTGAATTGAGTAATAAATTTCTCTGTGTAAAATATAATGGACCAATTCTCAGTGTAGAACAAAAAGCAATCGTCGGAAACGTGAATTTAGCAAGCAATCGTGACAACAATCATGGTGTTATTACAAGGATTTATATGGGTATAAACAAGGTGCTGTTGCTCCTAAACGAACACGGGGACCCCTCATTTTTACTTCAAAATTTAAGTTCCTATAGCATAAACAATCAATAGGCAAAGTTTCACAAAAATTTCAGTGCAGGTTCTATTTCAGTGAAATGACCTTAAATTTGTCATAATATCGATAGGATTCTTCATGTGCTCTGGCTGCCTAAAAACAAGTGTTTTATAGGAGGGAAAAGAAACTTACAGACACTATTGTTTCGCGTGAGTTAAATCTATATCACACAACACACAAAGAAGCTAAGTCATAACTACTACACTGTCATGGAAAACGTTTGTTCGAGAAATGA